ACATTTTTTTTATTTTTGAATGCAGTTATTTTTTTGTACATAATTTGACATTTGTAAGTTCAACTTTCATGACAAAGAGATTGCACTACATTACTTATATTAGGTGAATTTAAAATACTATTTCTTTTGTTTTTTACAGTGCAAATATTTGTAATAAAAATAAACAAAGTGAGCACTGCACACTTCGTATTCTGTGTTGTAATTGAAATCAATATATTTGAAAATGTAGAAAATACGCAAAAATATTTAAATAAATGGTATTCTATTATTTAACAGTGTGATTAATTGCGATTAATCGTGATAAATTTTTTTAATCACTTGGCAGCCCTAATAAATATATAAGAATTGCTGTTTACTTGCCAAAATGTGGGTTCATGGGTCCATAGGTGATGACGTGGAATATGTCTATCAAATTGTGAATTCCATTTTGTATTAGCACCTCCATTTTATATTATGGATAGAACACGTTTAACCTTGCCCAATTCCAGATAGCTTGCCCCATCCAGGAAAGTTGCTTGACTCCCTCATTGAAGGAACATCACTCAGAAACCATCACAAAGCAAACTGGAGCCATCACTTTTATGTCTCAGCTGCTGGCTCTGACTCCATCGAACTATGGATTTTCTACACATGGGTGCCAATTTGGCAGGTGGATCTGCAGCATCTCAGCCTGGGGACCTGGGAAAGAAGAGAAACTGTACCAAAGATTTGGGTACTGCTTTGAGCAGGGGGGACTGACCATTGCCACTTGGAAGCACGACGTGCAGGATTGAAAAGGTCAGGAGGAATTCTGCCCAACTGGTAATGCTGACAAACCTCAGACTTGCAGAAGGGGCAAGATCAGACAAGGGAGGGAGTGCTTCTCAGTACCTCGGTAACTTTTCAAAGAGTTATAACTCTTGAGTGCCTTCAAGAGTACAGTCGCTGTGGTTAAATTCCTTTGTTAAGCATGTGTACCTTGCTTTCCTGCCATGTTATTCCTGAAAGGGTTAAACTAGAAGCCCAGAGCACCTGCAGCCTATTTGGAGCTCCGGGGGATCGTGTGGAAGCAGCTGGGGGGCTTGGGAGGTCTCAGACATCGATTTTAGGCACTTGGGCAGCAGCGCCTCAAGAAGAATGCTGGACCAGAAGTCTGAATCTGGGAGTGTGGTCTAGGGCCTCAGAGCTAGAAACGTTGGCTTAGACTGCCTGGGCCTAGATGGCTCGGAAGCACGTAGGCCCCAGAATTGGGACTACTCAGAACAGACTGGTGTTCCTACAGAAGAGTACTGGATCAGGCTGTGACACCATGTATCTAGTTCCCCTGCATGAGCTGGTGACATCACAACCTGCTTGTGCCTGTGATGTGATCGAGTGTCACAGGGTAAATGGACTTTTGTTTTAAAATGTAAATATTTAAATTTTAAATCTGCACACATTCTAATGATTTGACATCTTAAACACCTTTTAAACATTAGCTTTATAGTTCACCTTTAAATAATTGGTTTGTGACAGTAGGAAGAGTTCAAAATTAAAAGCTGATGCTCTATATTTAACTTGCTCCATTTTTCAGTTGTGTTGCAGTTCTCATACCTGTGAGATATTGTATGCTTAACACACTATAACACTTCACTTTCCTACAGTGCTGCCTACTCCTTCTCTTTCTTGAATTTATTCTGCCAAAAAAAATATTAAAATTTAAAACAATTGAACTAACGAGGCATGTACAACCATAATTTTGGTAAATCCAGTGCACATCAATTGCCTTGTAAAACTATAATATGGAATACAATACTTAGATGTGACAGAACACACTTGAGAGTAGAATATCCGATGTACATTTGAATGTACTTGCTGTAGTTGATTGGTGAGTTAATATTGCAGGCACAATGTTCTAATGAAAATTTACACCAATGGTTTAAATTTTCTACTTTTTATAGAGTAAGGAGAATAATGTATGGTTTTTACACCCAGGAACCATGGGAAGTAGTTCTTATAGATTATTTTAGCGTAACTAAAATACACAGTTACATAAGAATGGCCATGCTGGGTCAGACTAATTGTCCATCTAGCCCAGTATCCTGTCTTCTGACAGTGACCAGAAGGTTTGAATAGAACAGGGCAGTTATCTAGTTTTCCATCATCTGTCGTCCACTCCTAACTTCTGGCAATCGGAGGTTTAGGGACTGCTACAACATGGTGGGGTGTCCCTGACCATCTTGGCTAATTGCCATCGATGGAACTATCCTCCATGAACTTACCTATTTCTTTTTTGAACATAATTATACTTTTGGCCTTTACAAAATCCCCTGGCAACAAGTTCTCAGGTTGACTGCACTGTGTGAATAAATACTTTCTTATGTTTGTTTTAAACCTGCTGCCTATTAATTTAATTGGGTGACCCCTTGTTCCTGTGTAGGAGGGTAAATATGTGAAGGGGTAAATAACACTTCCTTATTCACTTTCTCCACACCATTAATGATTTTATAGACCTCTATCATATCCACCCTTAGTGGTCTCTTTTCTAAACTGAACAGTCCCAGTCTTTTTAATCTTGCCTCATAAGGAAGCTGTTCCATACCCCAATCATTTTTATTGCTCTTCTCTATATTTTTTTCCAATTCTAGTATATCCTTTATCAGATGGGGTGACCACATCTGCACGCACTATTCAAGGTGTGGGCATACCATAGTTTTATATAGGGCATTATGATATTTTCTGTCTTATTATCTATCCCTTTCTTAATGATTCTTAACATTCTGTTAGCTTTTTTGACTACCACTGCACATTGAAGAGATGTTTTCGGGGAACTATCCACAATGACTCCAAGATCTTTCTTGAGTGGCATTTAGACCTTATCATTTTGTATATACAGATGGGATTATGTTTTCCAATGTGCATTACTTTGCACTTACCAACATTGAATTTCGTCTGTTATTTTCTTGCCCAGTCACCCAGTTTTGTGAGAACCTTTTGTAACTTTTCACAGTCAGCTTTGGTCTTAACTTGGTATAAGGACCACTTTTTGATCTGTTTATTTAGGAAGTTTAGCAAGATCATTGCCATGTAAATATCAGAGACTGAAAAATAATCATTACAGCAGTGAGCTTTTGTATAGAAAAATATTATACAGCAATACGACCATGAGATCTCTCCATTTTGCACTGTAATATCACAGAGTGAGCCTTCCCACACTACCCAGGGCATGTTGTTTCTGGTGATTTGATTAAATTGAGTGACATCTCTGATTACACATTGCCTAGCACAGTGGGGCCTGCTCTTGACGAGAATCGCTAATGTTACCATAGTATGAAAATGTTAGAAATAATTTACTGAAACTGGTTGTCAAATAGCATAGAATGTATGTAGCATCAAAATGATTCAACCCTTAAGGCTCTAAATCTAAATGTTTTGTATGGCTTCACTTTTAAAGAGTGATTTTGTTACTCATAATAGTACCTTTTTATACACAAGAATTTGCATCTCTTTCCATTTCCATTCTTCCTCCAGCATTTTTATCTGCTAGATATCTTTCCAGTGGATGCTGTTGTCACTAATAGTAAACAAAGAAAAATGGACTTCTTTTGTTGGTGGGATAAAACTCAGTGCCTACGAGGCTAGGGGATGGTAGGAACCCCTTTGACTTTGGTGGAGGGAATGTCAAGAAGCCTTTCACCCTTAACCTCCTTCTGTCCTGGTAGATGCTGGTTTGACTAGGGAATCAGATGGGGGAGCATGTTTTGCCCCTGTACAGAGATGCAAGGGATTATGGGAGCTTGAGAATTAGGAGCCTTTCCATATGCAATTATACAAATGGCTGCTGAGAAGAAGGGAAGGATGTCTTGAGGTTGAGGTGTCCTGCCTTAATATTTCTTAATGTTCTGCTTAAATGTATTTTTTGTCTTATAGATCTAAAAGTTTGGTACAAAAAATATGTATTCCAGTAGACTAATTTTAAAAAGTGATTTTTTTTAAATGTTATAAACAGATGGAAAATGGGGTTTAGACTGGAATTTTGACACAATCTTTACTATGGCCTAAATAACACTACATGGCATTTTGTATGTTGTGATGAAATTATTAACCAAGCTTTGTCTGTTTTACCTGAAGAATTTGTAATTTTGAATTGTATTGTATTGTAAACTGTCAAAAGCCAAACAGTGTGGGCCATGAGGCACTGCCACAATACATAGAATAATATCTCCAATTAAAAAGCTTTTGTTGAACTACTGCTTGAGATGATGTTCCTAGTATTGCTTTTTGGCCCCATGGCTGTAGATACTGACCCATTCCTTTCTTAGGTGTTGGTTTTATGTTTAAAATCCTCTTTAGGGTCCCAGTCCTGCAAGTACTTAGATGTGAAATTAACTTTATGCATGTGAGTAGTCAGTCTTGCTATTTAAAATTAATGTAAAGCACAGTACCAGCATTTAAGTTTATTAAGGATCTCCCAACACAATAAATTGTGTCCTGAACTGCCCTTTATGTAAAGCCCTGTTATAAGTAATTTCTTATTCTCCTGCTTCATGCATGTAAAACTTAGAACAGACTCTGGTCATCTTCGGTCAGTTATTGTTTTGAGGAGTTGGGTACTTAAAATGTATTTGCCTTCAAAAATCATTAGTGAAACTGAAAATTGATGGACATGGTTTCCAAATTTGATGTGGATTCAGCCTGTTAGGGTATGGTGCCCCCTCTAGCCAACACTCAGAGTAGTATTAGACTTATTGAGTCCTCAGTTGAGGGGGAAGCTGCTGCAATGCAGGACCAAAGGGAGCTGGTGGTTTGGAAGTACATTGTGTGTGGATCTTTAAAATATTTTTTCTCCCTCCCCTGTTTTCTCCTCCTCAGTTCTCACCATCAGCAAACAAATGAAATTTTAGTCAGTCTCATTACAAACAACACACTTACCCTCTCTCTCGGGTTCATTTTATTCAGTATGAATATTGTTTTTTATCTGTTTCCTTTATTAAAGCAATGCAGTAGAGGAGCAAAATGATATATCCTACCTCTCTTTACAGGAATGGTTCTTAGGAAAAGCGTTATATGATGAAGAATCTACAATAATACATCATTATGCCTTTGCTGAAAATCCTACAGTCTTTAAATTTCCAGATTTTGCTGCTGGCTGGGCACTTAGTATTCCGCTTGTAAACAAGTAAGAATTTAATTTGTAATCTTTTCTAAAATTGTTTTATTAATAGTTAATTAGTTCATGTTTGTAAAGTGCTTTGAGGATATAAAAACCTATATAAACACTAAGCAATATTATTTTAAGGAGTTATAACTGAGCACAGATTAGTGTTTTACATAAAATTTAAAATACTACTATTTCTTATAAAATGTCTTCCCTCCTCATCCCACATACCAAAACACACAAATGAAGCTTTGCAAACACAAATTATAATAATAGTTAAAATTTCATAAATACATATGTGCAGAAATATATTTTTGCATTTAACTTTGTCTCTTTGTTATACACTTTGATTTTACATACCATGTGAAGTTTAAAGTCTTATGCGCCTTCATGCAGTAAAAGTATATATTCATAAATGGAAAATGTTTAAATATTACAAATGGGAGCACAAATAAGAAGAAAAAGTTTAGATTAGTGAGCAAGGGGCTGATCATTAAGCAGCTGAAAGCACAAAATTGTCTCCTTGAATGTTAAAAATATGATGTCAAGTATCAGAGGGGTAGCCGTGTTAGTCTGAATCTGTAAAAAGCAACAGAGGGTCCTGTGGCACCTTTGAGACTAACAGAAGTACTGGGAGCATAAGCTTTCGTGAGTAAGAACCTCACTTCTTCAAAAATATGATGCTAGATTGCAGGGCCTCTCCTATTGAAGACTTTCTTCTTGGGCAGGAAAAATTGACACTGAGCGGTATATTCTAAGAACTAGTACTCACAGCAGCAGGCTATGTCCAGATGTTTGCTTTCCATTTCAGATTATCTTATATAAACATTTTCTGGTTCTAATAAATCCAGATGTGTGATTTTTTTTTTTTTGCAGGAGACAGTCAAGAAGCCCCCCTCCCCTCCCCCCCCCGCCAAACGACTCCCCACGTCTCAAATTCCTGATGAATTAGCTTAATTTTTTAAAGTGTGGAAGGAGGGTTATATAGTAAAATAACACTGCAAAAGTTGTTATTTAAAGAATTCGTTCATTTGTAGCCTATTTTGGAATCCTATCTGCTAAATTCCTGCAACTCGTGTAAACAGCTCATTATCAAGAAGCCCCTAGAAAATGGTTTGACATTTCATAGACATAAATAAAATCTCAAGTTTGTTTGTTTAAAAAATCAGTTGCTGTCTCCATTACATTACTCTTGTTCTTACTTTATGAAGTAAGTAAATTTCATTATGTTTATTGTACAGGCTTGCAAACAAGCTGAAAAGTGAACCACTTAAGTCAGACTTTACAATAGATTTAAAACATGAGGTAAGCCATGTTCTATTCCTGTGAAACATGTAAGAAAATAACCCTGTCATTTTCTGTTTAAATGCTGATAAATTGAAGCCTAAATAATGTAGACTCTTTCAGGTTGTTAAAATATTTGAACTTTCTGGACTGTATATTTGTTTGCCTTCCTTTTCAGTGTTATAATATGTAGAATTGTAAAAGTTCTATTGTTACAAAATGTAGATGGTACTGCAAGTAAAGCTGAATTTGTATCATGTGATAGTGTACAAGAAGGCATCACTTTTTGGAAGTTTGCTATAGAAAAAAGGAAGAGGTTCCCAGCTCATCAAATAGAAAAGTTTGCATTTTGAGTCTCCTCTTCTATACCCATTAAGGACTGTCTCAGATATCAGACTGCCTCACTGACATTGAATTTCAACCTAGATTAAACTGTTATGATGGTTGTTGGAAGCAGGAAGCATTTTGAGAGGCCTGCTTGTGGCTTGTGTGTGTGTATTATTCAGGCAGTACAGCTAATGCTAGTCAAATAGATTTGGGAACTTGTGGAAGTGTGTGTGTGTGTGGGGGTAGGGGGGGGGGGGAAGGTAGGAAACTCCATC